TGAAGACGATCTCATGGGACAACTAGACTTGTAGTGTCCAGGCTGCTGACATAAGTGACAAATAACTCCACTCTTATCAGATCCAGCTGGCATAGGAGTGGTAGGAGCAGATCGTGTAGACTGTTGCCCCTGAAAGTGAGAAGAACCACTCTTGTTCCTCTTCCAAGAAGATCCCTCCGAAGATGGCCCTACACCTCTCTTTTGCTTCAATTGTTCTCTTTTTCCGTCCTTCTCTTTATTATCGGCCTCCAACATCAATGCCCTTTCCACCGCTTCAAAGTAAACCCTAATGAACTGTGCCGTGATCAACGGCCTCATCTGATCATTAAGACCGGAAACAAGCTTCCTAGTCTTGTTAGCTTCATATCTCACCATTTTTGGAGCAAAACGGAAGAGTGAGGTGAACTTGTTCTCATATTCCGCCACTGACATGCTTCCTTAAATAAGGTCATGAAACTGGTCTTGTAACTCGCATCTTTTGCAAAGCGGAAAGTACTTTTCATAAAACAATTCCTTGAACTTATTCCAACTCATCTTCTCCACCTTGTGCAGGCTCGTAACCGACTTCTACCATAGTTTGGCATTCTTATTAAATTTGTAAGTAGCTAGGATGATCTTCAAATGATCCTCCGTCACATCTATTGAAATTAGTTGAGTCTCCACTTGATCTAATTAGTCATCCGCTACCATTGGATCTGCACCGCCCTCAAACATAACTGGCATCAACTGAGAAAACCCTTTTATGATCTTGAGATGCTTTTGAGCTGGTGTCTCCTCAACTTGAACTATAGGTTGTGGTGCCAACTGCGATTGAGCAGCAATCGTTGCCCTCAAGGCATTTTGTAATAAACGATTCAACTCCAGTGCCACAGAACCTTCACCCACTTCTACAGGTGCTTCAACATGCTCTCTCCTTATGGGAACAACTCTTGGGGGAATCAAGTCCCTAAGAAGTGTGTCCTCATCATTTAGCTCCTCCGGATTGGAGCTAGAGCTCTTGCCAACATCACCCCTTGCTAGCCTAGTGCCCATTCCCCTTGCTTCCTCACATCGTGACATCGTGCTATAAAACGAGAAAACGACTCAAAACACGACACCAAGGTCCACTGAGATTGACTCAACATGAAATGATGTCGTAACAACACTAAGCATGCAAAACTATACAAGAAACAGTTTAACATAAACATTTAAGTACATAAGCACATAAGTAGTTAAGTATGCTTGCTCAAGTAAATAAACATGTAGCAAGTAGTCACATAAACAATGCAATCAACACCCCATGCAGGCCTCTACCCGTCATCCTAAAGGTTTTCAAACCATCGTTCTGATACCATTAATTCTAACAACCTAAACCCGGAGGCCCGGACCGTTACACGGGTCCTTACTCAAGCTTGGGGTCGTCAACGCCGAACCTATCATTTCGAGAGTCAAAATGTCATCATTCCACTAGGATCAAACTTCTAAACAAGATCATGGACATTTAGAATGTACGAAGTGATGAATACCCGAAGAGAAGAATGGAGCAACAACATTCAGCTTCATTTTGGTCGACCGAAGTGGAGCTTCGGTCGTCCGAAATTCTATTTCGATCGACCGAAGGGTAGATACCGAGAGCAGCAAAATTGCTTTGGTTGACCGAACCTCATTTCGGTCGACTGAAGTGAGATCCTGAGAGTGAAAAATTCTATTTCGGTCGACTGATGCACTATTTCGGTCCACCGAAATGGAGATCCCGAGACTTGAATCTGATACTTAACTGCTGTGCTATGAAAATGGGGGAGAAACTGAAAAGAATACCCGGGAATGATTCGAGCTCAATATAAAATGTCAATCATGAGTCATTCTATGATTAGAAACGAACAAACTAACCCGTGATCATATTACAACACCATTGATTGAAATACATAGAATTATGTATATACAATACTTCTAACACTCCAATTACATCAACAAGGTAAGTTCCATTCTTAATTTACAAGGCCGTTTGAACAACTTTAATTACATTTCCAAAAATAGACATATACAAGAAGGTGGCCTAATACAAAAGGAACAAAAATAATGTTCTAACATCTCTTTTAAGCTTGAGGTGGATTATCGTCCACCGGTTCTTTCCCAAGACCTGAAAAAAATATATATATAGTAGGGTGAGCATAAAGCTCAGCAGGTGACACTTAAGACACACATCTTATGTCCTTGTGAATCCAAACAAAGCATAGGCCAATGGGAAATAGGGATCATGCAACATAGGGGATCAATACAACATACAAGTCAAATCCAAGTATAATCAATGCAATGTAGTGAAATGCAATGCATGCAAATGTCACTCCCCATTAATACAGCCCGCCCTTTGGTAACCCCGCCGCGACACGAGAGGAGGATTGGCTAATGTCCCTGACCCTTGGAAACCCCGCAGCGTCATTATGGGGTCCAGCTAGCTCAACCACGCTAAGGCGACTCCCTAGTCCCCTCTAGGATATATTAACTTTCGGCCCGTTGGTAACCCCGCAGCGACCGGGTTTGCATAAAATCATTTCATCAAAACACTTCCCTGAAATTCCCCATTTTCATGTTTCAAGAATAAATTTCTCCCGTTTTATGCAACCCGATGGTACATGCATGTATATATGTTCCATGTTTCCAATATTATGGCATTTAAAGAATTACAACATCCAATCGAGCATATATTATGTTCAACATTTCTAGATAGGTCATCAACATATTAAACACAACAAATACATCTAAGCATGCTTTTCACATAAAACAACTCATGTACACAAACATATATTTCTCTAGATAACATCTGATATGATCATTAACACAATTAATTCTCAAATAAAGCATGTTAGCACATAAGAGAGATGTAATTCATAATGGGACAAGAAAGAAGTGGATTAAGAGCCCTTACCTCAAAAGTGAACAAAACCTTTGAAAATGGGTTCTCAAATTCGAAATCCAAAGGGTGCTCAAAGTCTGAAATTGCTGGTACTAGTGCGTAGAGCTCGTCGTGCTCTTCGTTTTGCCTCAAACGGTACCTTAATCCAATTAGAAATGAGAGAGAGATCTTGTCTCAAAGATTGGCTTGAAAAAGAAAAGAAAATGGAGTGAAAAATTGAGAGAGAGAAAGTGATACGAGGAGAAAGAATAGAGAGACCAAGAAATGGTCTCTAACCACACATTTACATTAGTGGTGGGTCCCACCACCACTTTCTTTTCTCTTTTTCTTTATTCCACACCACACACATAATTACACCATTTCCAAATACCATATAACTCATGCAAATTAAAATGCACAAGATTCAATTGGACCCAACCACAATCCCACACGCAACACATGAAAAGACCGAAATGCCCTTGCATCAACAAAATTCCGGAAAAATGAAAAATACAGAAAAATTGGGAACATCACAACTTCAAGGGAGTTATTTGTAAATTTTGACATAATTCAGGGAGTTTTTTTTTTGTACTTTACCCTAACTATACTAATACATGAATATCCTCAAAAGTTGAACCGACTACCAAGACCTAGGGATGGCAACGGGGGCAGTTTTGGGCAAGTGTACCCTCCTTCGCCCCACAATCGTTTAGAAACTCCCACCCTGTCCCTGCCCAAAACCGCATAACTTTTTTACCCCCGCAGACAGCCGCCCCGCCCCGTTTAGTTCCAAAATTTCTCCTCCTTTTTTTAAATTTTTTTTTTTCTTAAATACAATTATATAACTATTGAAAAAAAAATCAAAAAAAATGGGCAATTAATAATTTAACGTAAAAATCAAGGGTATGAGCGTTCTTAATTCGTAGGGCTTTACCGTTCACTAGAACGGTTGAGAAAGTGAGTGAATGTGACTTAAGGTTTTTAGAGCTAACTATATATACTAATAAAATAAGGCTAATTTAGTAATTATCTACCTAAACGGAGCTGGGCGGGGTGACCTCCCACTGAACTTACACGAATTTTTATTAATAAAAATCAGTCCTGCCCAAATAAGTTAAACGGTCCTCCAAAATCGTTAGAAATGGGGCGGGATGGGGCTGGTACCCGTCCCCGCGGGCAAATTGCCATCCCTACCAATGTCGAAAAAGAAGAAGAAGAAGAAGATAGGAACAAAGCTTTTGTTGGTGTACGCTAGCTTTTGTTGGTGTTTTTGCTTCTTGGTTTTTATTCTGTTGTACATTAGCTTTTGTTGATGTTTTTGCCTGTTGGTTTTTATTCTGTTCATTCCCCCTACTTGGGGGTATCCTGTACATTCTACGCCTTCCTTTCTTATTATATGCTTACCTTTTAACTTATATATATATATATCAAACGTTGTTGTTTGTTTCATTATTTTGCATTTCTATTTTCTAATGTATTCTTAACCTTTTTGCTCCGACCGAAGTGAACTCATCATCACGACCCTGAAGTCCAAGAGCACCTAAGATATCGCTTGTAGTGTCCATCACATTCCATCTCCAATAATGATTTATTTATGCAGTAAAATACAAGTTCGTTCTTTTGTGTTCTAGATTCAACAATCCCTAAATTGTATACCCTTCAAATCCATCCACTGTCTTCATCTCTCAAATCCATCTCAACTTCCACAAATCAACACTCATTTATTGTCAATTACCTGATAAATTCATGTGGGTTGAGTCCAGAAACTGCCATTTCAGCTTCCAAACGCGTTAATTTCAAAACCCTAGAAAAACCAGATTCGGTTCTCAACTTGTTCAAGAGCCATGGATTCAGTAAAAATGATTCCCTGGGATGGTATCGCGTGATCATAGTGCTATTACAGTCCCCAACACCGAAATTTTGAGACAACAGGGTGTGCTAGATTCCAATATTGTGCACTTACTTACTCATCAGCCTAGGTCACTCATGATTGTAAAGCGTGATAGATTCAAGGAGGTAGTGGAGGATGCTAAGAAAATGGGTTTCAACCCCTTCAAAGTCACTGTTTGTTTTGGCGGTTTATGCATTTACGACAATGAGCAAATCAACATGGAAAAGGAAGATGGAGGTTTATGAGAAGTGGGGTTGGTCTGAGGAAGAAACAATCTTGGCTTTTACAAGATTTTCGTGGTGTATGACGGTATCTGTGGAGAAGTTAATGGCGGTGCTAAATTTTTATGTTAACACAATGGGTTGGAAGTCTTCCCTAATTGCTCGTGATCCAATATTATTATCAATGAGCTTGGGTAAGAGGATAATTTCCAGGTGTTCGGTGCTTCAAGTTTTGTTGTCAAAAGGTTTGATTAAGAAACCCATTAATGCAGCCACATTGTTGAAGTACACCGAGAGTTTGTTCCTCAAGAAGTTTGTGATGTGTTACGAGGAAACTCCTCAGTTATTGAAACTATATCATAAAAAATTGGACCTTACAAAATAACATGGTCATGATTATGAAGGTAAGAGTGCAATTTATTAGTTGTAGATTATCTACTTCCTAGCTGAACTGAAGTGGCTTACACATCCCCTGTTCTTTTACTTGCTTTCATGTGGCGACCTAATGTGGGCGGGTGTGCACTTGCAGGTGCGAGGCACTGGCAAGCTACCACACTGGGCGAATTACATGTGCATAATCCTAGGATGGGTGACCCTCTAGGATGTCTCTAGTCGGGATGAACCAAAAATGGACAATATTGTGTCGGAACAAGGTGAGCGTCGTTACATTTGATTTCCACCATTGGCTATATCACCACCACCTTTCGAATTATGTTTTTATGAACAATATTTTTCCTTGGATTTTAAATATCTCAATTTGATTTTTTTGTCAAGTATTTGTTCAGTTTCATTAAAAAAAACTTAAGAGATTTTGTGCTGCACTAATATATCTTCCATTAATCATGTATGCGTTTAGCGGAATGATTTATTATTACATTTTATTCAAAATTTTAATCATGTATGCATTTAGCTGAATGATTTATTAATTTTTCTGCAACTCTAACTTTGCGAGGTCGTTTTAATCTTTAATTTGAAGCAGATAAACTCACTATATAAGAGTCATGTTCCTTAATGAAGAGTATTACATTTTATTCATATAATTGAAGATGTTCTAACCACACATACCAAAGTGGCCTTAATTGATGTACATCACTATAAATAACTGAGTAGCCATGCATCACTAATCTATAAATAGCCAGCAGGGAAAACTATATATATATATATATATATATATATATATATATATATATATATATATATGGTACTACGCTTAATCTATCTTTGACCTACTTGAGTTTATGTATTTCCACTGAAGGAGAACTCTGTGGCTTTTTCAAGAGTACTAAGGGATCAAGGCAGGGGGATCTCATTTACCATTATACCCTACCTACTATTTGTGATTACAATGGATGCTCTATCACCCATTACAAACCTTATGACTTTCTCTAATCCTAGCTTCATCTACCACTGAAGGTGCAAGGCTTTACAAATCTCTCATATTTCTTTTGTTGTTGAGGTTATAATATTGTTTTGAAATAGAGACATCAACTCAGCAAAAATCCTTAAAACTGTCCTCGACACTTTCCCCAATCTTTTAGGCCTTATTCCTAATCCCCTAAAGAGTCAACTATATTTTTGTATAGTCACCTCTTTCAGTTTCCTTGTGGTACTCTTGCATTCAAGTATCTTGGAATACCTCTCGTTACTACCAGGTTGACTTTATCTGATTGCCAAGCTCTTATTGATAATTTGAAGAAACATGTGCTTGAATAAATCAAATTCTCTCAAGATTTCTTTGGACAGGTCCTGCGATGAACAAGTTTAGAGCTAAAGTAGCTTGGGATGAGGTCTGCAGGCCAAGAGAATGTGGTGGTCTTAGAATTCGTGACATCCGAGAATGGAATAAATCCTCTATTCTGAGACAAATATAGACATTATGCTCTCAAGACTCGAATAGTTTATGGAAACCGTGGACCTTTGTTGGTGTCACCTGTTAAAAGCTGACATGGCATGTCAACAAGCCCCTGTAGTGGTTTGAAAAGTCAAAAGTCTTGGGTGACCAACCCTCGAGCATATTAAGCCCTGGTATTGCTCCAGGCCTATTAAGCCTCAAGAGTTTAACCTTGAGCACACTAAGCCCTGGCATTGCTTCAGGCCCATTAAGCCTCGAGAAGTTGACCCTCGAGCACTTTAAGCCTTGGCATCGCTCCAGGCCTATTAAGCCTCGAGAAGCTGACCCTCGAGCAATCTAAGCCCTGGCATCGCTTTAGGCCCATTAAGCCTCGAGAAGCTGACCCTCGAGCACTCTAAGCCCTGGCATCGCTCCAGGCCCATCAAGCCTCGAGAAGCTGACCCTCGAGCACCCTAAGCCCTGGCATCGTCCCAGGCCCATCAAGCCTCGAGAAGTTAACCATCGAGCATCATAAGCCCTGGCATTACTCTAGGCCCATCAAGCCTCGAGAAGCCAGCCCTCGAGCACCCTAAGCCCGGGCATCCCTCCAGGCCCATTAAGCCTTGAGAAGCAAACCCTCGAGCACCTTAATCCCTGGCATCACTCCAGGCCCATCGGGCCTCGAGGGACCAATCCTCGAGTGCTCAAAGCCTCGATATCTTGTTAGGTAACACCATCGCGAAAAAGCAGAACCGTAAGAGGCTTGCTGTCAAAATTCGCATATAGCATGAAAAAAAGGTAGGATCTTCGTAGCTCTAAAGTATCCAAGATTGGGAAACTTAGGAGGATCTTGGATTGGTGGATGAGAAGTTAAGAAATGCCTTCGCTCTTAGTAAGGCCCAATTAATAAGATGATGGGATTACACATGTTATGCCAGCAAACTTTAAAATCACATTTAATGTTGTGTCAGGTTCAACCAACTGACGGCCAAGCAACATTCAATGCCATTAATTAAGGGAAAAATGAATGGCAATGTAATGCAAGGCTCGATGAGAGGATTAGATTCTTCAGACTATTAAACTTCCAAGATCACCACAAAACCTGGATTGGAGGTGATGCATGTAAGAAAATATACATGGAAGAGACCATTGGGCAATGACCAATGGAGTTTGGGCCTATAAATAACATTGTCATATGAAGGATAACCAACCTAAGAGAGAAAGAAAAAGCTGTCATAACATATTTTCCCTACCACCATCAAAATCTTGCTAATTGGTCTTCTCCTCCTCCTCCTACACTAAGCACCTCCTCTGTTTCCTTCATATTTGTATATATGATATTTCCATTATATAGTTATTTATTGCTTGATCAAAAAAGAACCTTTATATTTTGGCGACTCTGCTGGGGATATCAGTACAAGTAGATGGAATCACAAGATGTGCCAACTCACCATTCAGAGCCTTTTGTTGCAGGGGTGGTGACTCTCCCCTCCAGTCCCAGGCGCCATCACATGCTTCCAAAGTTCATGCACCACACATCGTGATGCCGGAAAGCTCAGCAGCCCCTTCCGTTCATGAGGAGTTATTGTAGTCCAACCGTGATTTTAACGACCGCCTGGACAGATTGGAGGCCTTGATCATGCAAAGTGCACGGGCCAAAACTGCTTCTCCCGCTAGGGCAGCTTTGCCTGAGCATAACCAGCCAGGCAGCTCATCTACTCACGTGCCACCACTATGGTATCCGCCGATGCAGGCCTAGACAGTCCCAAAGCCCACCCCAGTTTAACCTGTTCCACCGGGAAACCCTTCCCCGGAGTATATCACTGAATCCATACTACGTGACTTCTTCATGAAGCATGTCCCATCCGCTGCGCGTGCATTGGTATTGCAAATAGAGCCTCCATACCCAAAAAGCCTTGCTCAAACACCGTACCCACAGGGGTACGTCATCCCAAAATTTCCCATGTATGATCGTGTCAAAGGAGATGCTGATGAGCACTTGCAGAGATTCGTAAAATCTCTAGGCCAGCATAGCTACGATGAGATTTTGCGCCTCCGAGAATTCTCCAAGTCTCTCATGGGGCTCGCTTACAGATGGTTTCGTAACCTCGACATACACTCGATCACCACTTGGCAGCAGTTCTCTCAAAAATTTCACGACACATTTGCCCAAGCCATTGAGCGAGTCACCATGTTCTCCTTCACTAAGGAAGTACAGGAAACCCACGAGGAGCTTCTTAAGTTAATCTCCTGCTTCCAGGCCAGGGCGAAGGAGTGCTTCGAAAGCAGCAGTGAGCGAGATCTAATCGACATCTGTATACAAGGCATGATCAAAACTTACAGGATACATTTGGTCAACTTAAGACTCAACAGCTTCAGTGACTTTACCACAGTTGTACGAAACATTTGCAAGGATTTCACGCCTCCCAAAGCAGAAGTCGCTGGACAGGTAACTCGCAAAGATATGCCAGCTACTCCTCGTAATGACAGAGCAAAGAAGCGTCGCGAGACAGATGCTAGAGCCAAGGGACCTCGGGCCGAATGAGCTAATGATCCTCACCCTTTCCTAATGTGTATGGAAGAGGCCGCCAGCACTCTAGAGCAGTGGGTCAAGCATGGCGTAGTCGTGCTACCTGTTCCCCATAAAGAACTAACATCACAGGATCGCGCAAGCCCAAAATTTTGCATTTTCTATCAGGCCACTACACATCCAACGAGTGCCTGCAGGATGCTGAGGAGAATTTTTCAACAACGGCTCGAGGCTGGTGACCTCGAGTTGACCGTGCCGAAAGATGTGCAGCGCAATCCCTACCCTCGTCATCGCGGGGTAGCTATGGTCACATATTATGATGAGTTGGAAGAAACCAATCCCCTGCAACCCAAGATTCAAGCACAACACAGCGAGGAGGAGTGTTGCGCAGCCGCGTCGCCCAGTCAACATACCTCTCATCAGGCTCCTTTGACCATTTCCTTCTCTGAATCTGACAAGAGAGTTTATACTCATCAAAATCATCCTCTCTATGTTACTGCACAGCTTAATGGTAGGGAGTTCTGTCGTGCTTTTCTCGATAACGGATCCTCCATTAATATCATGCCATGAGCCACTTTTCAGAAAGCTGGTTTGCCTCAGGATCGCCTTGTTAAGGAGTCCATTGAGCTATACGTTTTTGGTAATGAATCTCATCAGACCATTGGTTATGTGAATGTTGATCTTGCAGTGAACAGGTTTTGCGCTCCCATCAAGTTCCATGTTATTAAGGCTGATACCTCTTATCATGTGCTCCTCGGGCGGGCATGGATGCATCGCTTTGGCATAGTGGCTTCAACATACCATTAATGCTTCAAAGGCATCCTGGGCAACAAAGTTATCACGGTGCCATGCTCTGATAAGCCATTCATAAAGCACGAGGCTCACTTCACTGAGGCCCTCTTCTTTGATGACTTAGACGAGGATGATGAAGAAGGAGAGGCGCATATTATTCGCACCATGTTGCCCAAGTGGGAAGAGGTTTAGCAAGGCATTTTTTACCTTCCACAACCGTACGTTCCCAGAC